TGCTGCCCTGCCTGCTGCCCGGATGATGGTGTTGCTCCCTGCCTGCTGCCTGGACGATGGTGTGCTGCCCTGCCTGCTGCCCGGACGATGGTGTGCTGTCCTGCCTGCTGCCCAGACGATGGTGTTGCTCCCTGCCTGCTGCCTGGACGATGGTGTGCTGCCCTGCCTGCTGCTCGGACGATGGTGTGCTGCCCTGCCTGCTGCCTGGACGATGGTGTGCTGCCCGGACGATGGTGTGCTGCCCTGCCTGCTGCCCGGACGATGGTGTGCTGCCCTGCCTGCTGCCTGGACGATGGTGTGCTGCCCTGCCTGCTGCTGTGTAATTTCATTTTTTGTTGGCTCTGTAATTGCATAATTTTTTGGCTGTTTACTTTTCTGTTTACATTAAGTCATGTTGCTATACAATTGCAATATTTGTACTGTGGAATTCCAATCTATGTCGCTGGGTAAATGACAATATTTTTTTTTTGCTGTGTAATTTCATTTTTTGTTTGCGCTGTAATTTAATTTTTGGTTTGTTGTATAATTTCATTTTTTATTGGCTCTGTAATCGCATAATTTTTTGGCTGTAAAATTTATTGGGTTTTTTTTTATTGCTGTGTAGTAACATTTATTTTTGGCTGTAATGTAATTGTTTTTTTTTAACTGTAATTTTTGTGGACTGTGTAATTTCATTTTTTTTTTTTTGTGGTGGCTGTGCAATTTATCTCTTTTTTGTTGTGTGTGGCTATGTGATCTTTCTTTTTGTGAGTGTGGCTATGTAGTTTCATTTTTTGGCTATGTAATTTCAATTTTTCTAGGACCATGTAATTGCATTTTTTGTTTGTTTTTTGTGGCTATGTAATTCCACTCGTTTTTTTTTTTTAGCTATGTAATTTTTCCTTGTTTTTTTTTTTTTTTTTTTTTTTTTGTGTAATTTAATTTATTTTACTGTGTAATTGTACTTTTTCTATGTATTTTCAGTCACTTTTCTGTTTAAATTTAGTCCCGTTGCTATATAATTGCAATATTTGTACTGTGGAATTTCAATCTATGTCACTGAGTAAATGACAATATTTTTTTTCTTTGTAATATAAATTTGGCTGCTGTATTTCTTGGATCTTACTGAAGTTAGTTTCAGTACTGTCCCACAGCCACCTAAGATATTGTCTGCACCTTCCTAAAGTGTCCATGTCCCAAGATGTCCGCCTGAGATGTCATTAAACATATCCCTCATCAAAGTTTGATTCTATAAATGACTGAAACATGTCTATTTCCCAATTTTATCTATCTAACTTTGAATGAATCTAAAGATAAACACGTTCTTTTTTTAAATTTTAGGCTTCTTAAACCATAAATCATGTTGGCATCCCACGTAGAATACTGCTTGGTGGCCATATTTTTTTAAACAAACATTTAGTAACTAGGTGAATCTCACAAATGTACTATATTTTTCGCTTTCAATCTACATTTCTAAATGAGCACACCTGATATCAGACCCAAAGTACTCTAAAGAAATTTGAAATTGGGCGGTCAGCGTTTTATATCCCGTCAGTGGTAGATTAAAAACCTTCACTTGTCACGCCTCTATTGGGCCGTTAAAACAAATTAGCCCCAGATGCGTTTCCTAGGACCTAACTCTTTGAGTCCCAGGGTGTTTAGCATCACAGGCCCAATAGATAGTAAAGAGAGAATAAAATCGACACAACATGAGTTCATTGGGCTTCTAGGTAAGACCTATGAAAGTATGATGAGTTCCCTGGGACTCGAAGAGTTAGAGTTAATCATATTGTTTTAAAATCTAAATTTATTTTTTTTGCTGTTGAAAAAATCAATTTTGTGTTTGCAATGTAATTTCATTTTTGTTTGCTTTGTAATTTTTTTGGCTGTGTAATTTATTTTTTTTTTTGATTGTTATTTAATTTTTGGTTTGCGGTGTAATTTAACTTTTTGTTAGTTGTGTAATTTCATTTTTTATTGGCTCTGTAATTGCATAATTTTTTGGCTGTATAATTGAATGTTTTTTTTTTTTGGGTGCTGTGTAGTAACACTTTTTTGGCTGTTTTTTAATTGTTTTGTGACAAATTTTTTTGGGCCGTGTAATTTCATTTTTTTTTTTTTGGTGGCTGTAATTTCTCCCTTTTTTTTTTTTTGTTTTTTTTGTGTGGCTATGTAATCTCTCTTTTTGTGTGAGTTTGGCTATGTAATTTCACATTTTTTTTGGACTATGTAATTTCAAATTTGGGGGGGGGGGGGACTATGTAATTGCACTTTTTTGTGGCTATGTAATTCCACTCGGTTTTTTTTTTTTGGGTGGGGGCATGTAATTTCACTCTTTTTTTTTTTTTTTGGGGGGGGGTGTGATTTAATTTATTTTTCTGTGTAATTGTACTTTTTCTATGTATTTTCAGTCACTTTTCTGTTTACTTTAAGTCATGTTGCTATACAATTGCAATATTTGTACTGTGGAATTCCAATCTATGTCGCTTGTTAAATGACAATATTTTTTTTTTGCTGTGTAATTTCATTTTTTGTTTGCGCTGTAATTTAATTTTTGGTTTGTTGTATAATTTTGATTTTTATTGGCTCTGTAATCGCATAATTTTTTGGCTGTAAAATTTATTGGTTTTTTTTTATTGCTGTGTAGTAACATTTATTTTTGGCTGTAATTCAATTGTGTTTTTTTACTGTAATTTTTGTGGACTGTGTAATTTCATTTTTTTGTGGTGGCTGTGCAATTTATCTCTTTTTTGTTGTGTGTGGCTATGTGATCTTTCTTTTTGTGAGTGTGGCTATGTAGTTTCATTTTTTGGCTATGTAATTTCAATTTTTCTAGGACCATGTAATTGCATTTTTTGTTTGTTTTTTGTGGCTATGTAATTCCACTCATTTGTTTTGTGTTTTTTTCGTTTTTTTTGTAATTTTCCTTGTTTTTTTTTTTTTTTTTTTTTTTTTGCTGTGTAATTTAATTTATTTTACTGTGTAATTGTACTTTTTCTATGTATTTTCAGTCACTTTTCTGTTTAAATTTAGTCCTGTTGCTATATAATTGCAATATTTGTACTGTGGAATTTCAATCTATGTCACTGAGTAAATGACAATATTTTTTTTTTCTTTGTAATATAAATTTGGCTGCTGTTTTTCTTGGATCTTACTGAAGTTAGTTTCAGTACTGTCCCACAGCCACCTAAGATATTGTCTGCACCTTCCTAAAGTGTCCATGTCCCAAGATGTCCGCCTGAGATGTCATTAAACATATCCCTCATCAAAGTTTGATTCTATAAATGACTGAAACATGTCTATTTCACAATTTTATCTATCTAACTTTGAATGAATCTAAAGATAAACACGTTCTTTTTTTTAAATTTTAGGCTTCTAAAACCATAAATCATGTTGGCATCCCACGTAGAATACTGCTTGGTGGCCATATTTTTTTTAAACAAACACTTAGTAACTAGGTGAATCTCGCAAATTTACTATACTTTTCGCTTTCAACCCACGTTTCTAAATGAACACACCTAATATAAGACACAAAGAACTCTAAAGGAAGTTGAAATGTCCAAGTCCAAGTCCTTCTGAGAAAAAAAAAGAAAAGCTCCACCATGTTCTGACTGCTGCTAGCTAGTCGAGGCTGCTAGCAGTTCCCGCCTAAATTTGTGGTCTGTGTTATTTGCGTCACTTTCGTGACTGAATTCTAGTGTTTGTGCCATTCTTGGGCTTGATGCTTCCATCCGAGTCAAACCGCTCGCCCTTCAACCTGTTGTCACTGGTGCATGTCTTTCTTCTTCTTTCTTGGTGTTTCCTGTTTGTTTTGTCTCCCTTGTTCTGGCTAGACATATCTCGTAGAAGAGTGAGCTTCCATACACAATGTCCCTTTGACCACCATTTATTGTTTTAAAATTTAAAGTATTCTATTTTGCCAAAAAAGTTGAAATTGGGCGGTCTGTGTCTTATAACCCGTCAGTGGTATATTAAAAACCTTCACCTGTCACGCCTCTATTGGGCCGTTGAAACAAATTAACCCATGATGCGTTTCCTGGGACTTAACTCTTTGAGTCCAAGGGTGTTTAGCATCACAGGCCAAATGGGTAGTAAAGAGAGACTAAAATCAACACATCATGAGTTCATTGGGCTTCTAGGTAAGACCTATGAAAGTATGATGCGTTCCCTGGGACTTGAAGAGTTAAAGAGTTAATCATATTGTTTCAAAATCTAAAGTTTTTTTGCTGTTAAAAAAAATCAATTTTGTATTTGCAATGTAATTTCATTTTTGTGTTTGCTGTGTAATTTTTGGTTTGCGGTGTAATTAAATTTTTTTGTTCGTTGTGTAATTAAATTTTTGGCTTGTTGTGTAATTTCATTTTTTATTGGCTCTGTAATTGCATAATTTTTTGGCTGTGTATTGAAATTTTTTTTTTTTTTTTTTTTTTTTTTTTTTTTTTTGCTGTGTAGTAACATTTTTTGGGCTGTAATTTAATCGTTTTTTTTTTTTTTTTACTGTAATTTTTTTGGGCTGTGTAATTTCATTTTTGTGGTGGCTGTGTAATTTCTCTATCTTTTTTTGTGTGTGGCTATGTAATCTCTCTTTTTGTGTGAGTGTGGCTATGTAGTTTAATTTTTTTGGGTTATGTAATTGCAATTTTTTTGGGGGATTATGTAATGGCACTTTTTTGTATGGCTATGTAATTCCAGTCGTTTTTTTTTTTGGCTGCACAATTTCACTTGGGGGGGGGGGGGGGGGGGTTAATTTGATTTATTCTACTGTGTGCACCTGGTGATGATGTCCTACAGAGATGTGCCCCCAGAGATGACATCTGCCATAGATGTACCCCCGGAGATGACATCTGCCAGAGATGTGCTCCTGGAGATGATGTCCGCCAGAGATGTGTCCCTGAAGCTGCTGTCTGCCAGAGATGTGCCCCCAAAGCTGCTGTCTGCCAGAGATGTGCCCCCAGAGCTGCTGTCTGCCAGAGATGTGCCCCCCCCCGCCAGAGATGTGCCCCCCCCCTGCTGTCCACCAGAGATGTGCCTCAGGAGCTGCTGTCTGCCAGAGATGTGCCCCTGGAGCTGCTGTCCGCCAGAGATGTGCTTCTAAAGCTGCTGTCCACCAGAGATGTGCTCCTGGAGCTGCTGTCCACCAGAGATGTGCCTCCGGAGCTGATGTCCACCAGAGATGTGCCCCCGGACGCCAGAGATGTGCCCCCAGAGATGATGTCCACCAGAGATGTGCCCAGGAGATGATGTCCACCAGAGATGTGCCCAGGAGATGCTGTCCACTAGAGATGTGCCCCAGGAGATGCTGTCTGCTACAGATGTGCCCCAGGAGATGATGTCCACCAGAGATGTGCCCTGGAGATAGTGTCCACCAGGGATGTGCCCCCATAATTGGTGTCTGCCAGAGATGTGCGCCCGGAGATGATGTCCACCTGAGATGTGCCCCTGTAGCTGGTCTCTGCCAGAGATGTGCCCCCAAAGCTGATGTCTGCTAGAGATGTGCCCCAAGCTGATGTCTGCTAGAGATGTGCCCCCAGAGCTGCTGTCCGCCAGAGATGTGCCCCCGGAGCTGGTGTCCACCAGAGATGTGCCCCCCAGGAGCTGGTGTCCATGTTCGGTCAGTGTTTGTCGGTAAGTGTTTGAGTCGATCAGTGTTTGAGTCGGTCAGTGAGTGAGCGGTTCATTGAGTGAGCGAGTCAGTCAGTCAATCAGTGAGTTAGTCAATGAGTGAGTCAGTCAATTAGTGAGTGAGTCAGTCACTCAGGGAGGTGGTCAGTAAGTGGGTCGGTCATTCAGGGAGGTGGTCAATTGGTCAGGGAGGCGTTCAGAGTGTCAGTCATTTTGTGTGTCAATCATTCAGTGTGTCAGTCATTCAGTGTGTCAGTCATTCAGTGTGTCAGTCATTTAGTGTTTCAGGCAGCGGACATCGCCTAGGGATGACATCTCTATTTTGTTGTGTGAATTCCGTCTATTTTGTTGTGAGTGCCGTCTATTTTGTTGTGTGAGTCCCAGCCATTTAGTTTAGCCCCACCCCCTCTTCCCCATCCGCAACGCCCATAGCAGCGCCTGTGGATGCTGTCAGCAGTGCGATATAGTCACAGAAACAGGTCCACAATTAACATATCGCTGAGACCCGGTTAGAGCATTTGTTTGCCCTCGATAATATTAGCCTGTTATTCGAAGCCGATCCTAGTTTTGCCGCGATTTATGCACGGAAGGAACTCCGCATTTTGCGTAGGACTGAGGCCCTGAGGGTATTTGTTTGGCCGCCATTATTGGTGGGGGGGGAAGATCGAAGGAGAGCCGTCTGTTCCTATTTTCCTACACTAGGGACCTAGAACCCACACGGGAAGTGTAGATAACAATACACACAGTGGATTCAGGTAAGATTTCTGGTGTAATTTCTACAGTAAAAAAACAACAAAAAGTCAGAACCAAATTGTGCTAAATCAAGGGAAGGGAGCAAAACAATTCAAGAATTACAAATAATTATCTAGACACAGCATGAATTTAAAACATGCCAGAGTCAATGTCATCATCATCAAGTGCCTTGTCAGCTGATGTGCATCTGTGAGTGTATTTGTATGTATGTGTGTGTCTGTCTGTGGCTGTGAGTGACTGTGTGTGTCTTTATCGGTGTATCTATTATGATGTCTGTGTGTCTCTGTTTGTGTCGGTTTATGTGTCTGCCTGTATGTCTGTGTGCGACTGTATGCGTGCCTGTGTATGTATCTGTGTTTCCCTGTCTCCGTGTGTGTATGTGTTTTTGTGTGTGACTGTGACTGCATGTGTGTGTGTCTGTGTGGGTTTGTGTCTGTGTGCATCGGTGTGTATATTTGTATGGGTCTTTTTGTGCGGCTACGTGTGTGTATGTATGTGTGTCTGTGTGGGTTTATGTCTGTGTGCGTCGGGCGTGTGTGTTTGTATAGGTCTTTTGTGCGGCTACGTGTGTATGTGTGTATAGCTGTGTGTCTATATGTGTCTGGGTTGTATGCGTGTGTTTTAGAGCGCAAATCTTTGTGGGTGACTGTGTATGAGTGTATGTATGTGTGTATATGGAAAGCAGTGGGTCTATTCTTGTTTTCCCCATAATGGGGCCCCAGGACCCACACAGGGAGGACCAATTCCAGTGATGATATTTCTCCATGCTACTGTCTTAAGCTATCCATATTTATCTTGGTCTGCCTCTGCCTCTTCTACCAGTAATCTTTCCAGTCATCATATTTTCCACTGCTCATTTTCTCATCACATTGATCAAACAACTTTGTTTGTCTCCTTCTCATTGTTGTAATAATAATGTTCTACTTTCGTTAGCCATTTCCAGGCAATCATTGTTATAAATAGTTTGGCAGTCCAAGGTTTTCGCAGCATTCTTTTCCCACAACTCAATTGCCTCCAAGTTCTTCTTTATTATATGAGGTAAAATATACAAGAGATAAAAACATACAATGATGGCTTACAGTTTTAGACCACCTAGTAAATAGTATGGAGTATGCCATTTTTAGATAGAATGATGGTTGAACTATCTTGACCAAAAAGAAATCAAATTTGTGGGGTATTAATTTAAAGCCACATTCCAGCTGATGGGGGAAGGGGGGGGGTTAAATATAACCAAATGGTTTAACAGTGTTTCTAGGACTTGTGGGGGCACTTTGTGTCATCGGATGTTAATTGTGTCATCATATGTTAATTGTGTCATTGGATGTTAATCATTTAATCGTGCAGTCCTGGAGGGGTTAAACAGCACTCACTCTGCAACGAGCACCTTTACTGGGCACTAAAATAGCAGTGGATGAATTTATGCTTAACTTTTTTCAAAATTACATGCTCTTACATTTGTAGTCACCACTGTAATAAGACACTGCATAGACAGGTACCATTATCAGATCTGCAGTGTGCACAGTAGTAAGACATGTAATAAGTAAGACATGTAATAAGACACTGCAGAGAATTGTACCAGTATCAAATTTGCAGTCTGCACAGTAGTAATTCCTGTAATAAGACACTGCATAGAATGGTACCAGTATCAGGTCTGCAGTGTGCACAGTAGTAAGACATGTAATAAGACACTGCAGAGAATTGTACCAATTTCAGATCTGCAGTCTGCACAGTAGTAAGACATGTAATAAGACACTGCAGAAAATTGTACCAGTATCAGGTCTGCAGTGTGCACAGTAGTAAGACATGTAATAAGACACTGCAGAGAATTGTACCAGTATCAGGTCTGCAGTCTGCACAGTTGTCGGGAAGTGATCCAACCCACCCCTACACATTCGACTACTCGGGGGGTTAACGCCCCTAACGGGCAGGTCACATTTCAAATATAGACCCATCCGATGGGTATATAGTCCCTCATATCTATTTATACCTTTATCTGGTGTAATAGGTATTTCTATATACTATAGTTGTCTTGAAAAGTCTACACTTTCAAACTTACGATTGTGGGATAAATATTTTTCAGATAAATGGTCAGATTCCGAGTAGCCTTTTTACTCCTCGGCGTACTGATTTGAGAGGAACTTCTTTGAAAGTGACGCCTAGCGTCCTGCTTCATTTTCTGTCTGACTGCCAAGAAGAACTGATGTGCCTCGAGTATCTGTGCTTTGAGGAGGCGGCATTTTGAGTCTACAGCTTGGGTAAGTTGATTATAGTTTGCGAGTACCATGATATATGTCTCTATGAAGTTAACCTGCTGCTGCAGGGAGGAAAGATTCAGCTGTGAGACAGCACAGAACAAGACCGTTCTTGGTGTCCAAGTACTCACGGTTACTTAAACCAAAGCTTTCCCTTCGCAAGCTGATAGTTTGTGCCCTATCTGACCAATATTAATGTAAATGTTTTAATCTAGCAGGCTCATTATTCTCTAACACACTGAGATTCAGATCGATATAGCCGGCAGATTTAACTGGGTCAAACTACAGCGAGCGAGACGCTGTGACATCAGAGGTTATTTTTAGCAGACACAACACAACAGTGTCAGCTACGGTCAGACTGTGGAGGTATAATATATATGTGAGAAAGAGATGGGATGCGTGTCTACAAGTGCAGATGTGATGTGGAGAGATGATGTCCTGTGTGTACTAGAGTCTATCTCCAATATGGACCGTGTCTCCTATCTTTTGTACTGACTGACAGACAGAGATAAATGAAGATTTAACTGTCTCATTATTCTGAGAGCTATCCTCTGAGTGACTGAGAAGGGTAGAGGGAAATAAATTGAGCTAGGTATGTGACTCCTGAGATTAATACTAATTCTAAGTTCCTTCCTGACACATGATGATACCTTCCTCGAAGTCAAGCAGACGATCAGCAGTCCCACCAACCACCATCCACTAATAGTGCCTAATACCACCACAACTTCAACATGGCAGGAGCTTGTTTGGGCTCCGGTGGTTAAGATGCAATTGTTGCAGGCCACTCATTTGTCATCACTCAAGGAGATCCTTCTTCAGGAGCTTGTTTGGGCTCCAGTTGCTAAAAGACAGTTGTTGCAGGCCACCCATTTGTCATCACTCAAGGAGAACCTTCCTCAGGAGCTTTGTCGAGGTCCTGTGTATGAACTCTGTCAGTGTTTACCAGGAAAAGAAGCAGTCTACCTGAATCATCCTGTTCAGATCACCAGGGACTGAGAAGAGCAGTGACATCCATCACTATTGGATAAGTGCTTCAGTGATCATATACCTCATGCTCTTTTTACAGGTCCACCTGGAGCCATGATGATGATCACCGATACTCTCATAGACTGATTCTGGCTGATTCAGCAGTACTATTTGGACTTTAGTTCCTGAACTTCATTCACCTGGGAACATCCTTGCTTGTCTTGATGATATATATATATATATATATATATATATATGTGTGTGTGTGTGTTGCGTTTATTACATGCCTTTTGAAGTTTTCATTACTGACTTGGGTGTCCCTGTTTCACTGTTCAAACTGTCTAGCATTTATGTATGTGTGATCATTAATCTTAATCTGTGTTAACATGGCTGTGATATTACAATATCATAGCCTGGGTGCTATCTTCTTATAATACTGGGGACGTCCAGCCTAGGATTATTATATATTCTGTAGTGCCATAACTTGAGTTGCCCTACTCCTGAAATAGGTTGGGTGTATATTGGCTACGGAATACCCTTTAGACCAACACGAGCCGACACCTCAACATTATTCTATTTCAGAGTACTGTTGGT